CAAGTGAGCCTTATACTGATCAAAAGAGCCATCACCTTTGTGCTTTTATGTGATTTATTTTAAAAACATCAATATTAAATTTTCTGTGCTTTTTTAAGTTTATTGGAGCAAATAGCACTTTTATGTCTTAATTGAATCAAATTGCTCATTTGAATTTAATATGCGCCAACATTATATTGAATTTAAGTGAACAAGTTGCTTTTGAAGAAATCAACCACACAATTGTATTGGTAACCAGCAATATACTTATAATTCATACCTTTACTAAAATACTTACAGATAACTCAATGGTAAAAGAGATGTATACAAATATTACAATAAATTGTCGTAATTGCAAGATGATGACGACGAAGATGACGACGGTGGTGGTGTGATGGTGGTGATAAATAAGTATTTATAAAATGGTGAAGTGGAATTTTCACTTGTGATTTTAGACAATTTTCATTAAATTATGAACAACAGAGTGTCTAACTATATTGACATACTTATTTTATAGATGAACAACATTTTTAATTGCGTGAAAGCTCCATCTTAATTACTCATTCTCAAATGTATATTCCTACATTATTTACATGCATTCTTATCATCAACTTTCCAATAAATGGTATATCTTGTTTCTTGTGATGGTTTAAACAATCCAAAAACTAAAAGCTAAGTAATAAAGAAAGGATAGAGCGTTGGTTGGCTCTCAAGATCTTTAGAGTCATTAGCTTGACTTTGTACCACTATCATTCTGGAACAGCGATTTCAAGCCTTTTTTTAGTTGTCCTTTAACATAATGTTTGATGCATTGCCCATTAACTTTGAAATTTTCATTTATTCCTACTATGAAAACTCATTGTTGACTATTCTTGTTATGCCATTGCTTTGTCATTTCTTTGTAGATGGATGTACTTTCATAGGCCTCTCTTATCAAATATTCCAATTCATGAAGTTGTAATATTCTTGTTTTCCAAGCCTTCTAGAGATCCATGTTCAACTGCTTTAGTATCCAATATGCTTTGTGCTCAAACTCTACTAGTAAGTGTCTCGCATTCCCAAACACCATTTGATATGGTTATATTTTGATAAGTATCTTGAAAGCGGAGCTACAAGCCTTCAAAGCATCATCTAATTTCTTAGACCAATCTTTTTGAGTGCATTCATTGTGAGCTCTAAGATTTTTTTAGCTGCCTGTTCAAAATCTTACCTGTCCATATTTCTGTGGATATGATAAGGTGTAGCTATTCATTTTTGAATCCCATACTTGTGAAGTTTTAATAAGTGATTATAGAAGTAAGTTCCACCATTACTTATCATGTCTCTAGGTGCTCTACATCTATTGAATATATACTTTTTTATAGAGCTTATCACCACATTTGCATCATTAGTAGGCAAGGCCTTGGCTTTCACCAATTTTGATACATAGCACACTGCCACTAAAATGTACCGATTGTTGTAGGATGATGGAAATAGTCCCATAAAATCGATGTCCCAAACATCAAAGTAAGATTTCTACCTACAATATATTGTTTAGTAGCATTTTATGATGAGCTAATATATCATTTGTTCATTGGCACCTGTCACATGATCTGCAAAAGCTATGACAATCCCTATAATGTGGCCAAAAGAAACCTTATTGACGAGCCTTCCTTGCTGTTTTTGTAGGGGCCAAAGTATCCTCTATAAGTTTAAGTATGAACCATTGACAAGATTAGTTTCATCTCATCTTCTGGTATGTACCTTCAAATAATTTGATCTATCCATCTTCGGTACAAGTATGGATTATCCTAATAATAGAATTTAAATTTATTGAGAAATTTTTTCTTCTGCTGATAAGTGAAGTCTAAATTCACATAGCCACTCACTAAGTAGTTGACAATGTCTGCATACCATGTGCTTGCTCCAACAACAATAATTGCTCATCTGGAATATTCCATTGATCTCCGCCTCATCTAATTCTTTTGCCTATTATATCCTCTATAAGTGATCTACTACTAATTTTTTGTTCATTTTTTTTTTATCAAAAAATTGATGTCAAACTCTTGTAGAAATAGAACCCATAGCTTGGCAACATTCTTCTCGAACAAGCACTTTAAAGCTATATAGTCTGTAAAGACTATATCACCTTTAACCCAATCAAATATGAGCAAAATTTGTGATAGGCAAATAATACTGCTAGCATCTACTTTTCAATTGTAGCATAATTAATCTGTGCATCCGTCAAAGTTTTATTGGCATAGTATATGACATGCAATATCTTTCCCTTATGTTGCATATAACTACTTCTATTATATAATCGCTTGCATCGCACATGAGCTCAAAGGTAGTTCCCAACCTAGTGCAACTTAACAGGGGTAGAAGTTAACTTTTCTTTCAAAGTGTTGAAAACATTTACATACTCATTAGAAAAGTTAAATGATACATTGTTCTCTAGTAGGCTACAGAAATGCTTTGTAATCTTTGAGAAATCTTGGATGAATCTTCTAGAGAACCTTACATGTCCCAAAAAGCTTATAATCCCCTTAACTGAAATTGGTGGCTAAAATTTTTCAATCACATGAATCTTGGTTTGGTCAACCTAAATTCCTAGTGAAGAAATTCAATGTCCCAATACTATTCTTTCATTCACTATAAATTGAGATTTCTCCCAGCTAAGCACCAAATTTCTTTCTTCAGACCGTTGTAACACTAGATATAGGTATTCCAAGTAGGTGTCAAAAGAATCTCCAAAAATTGAAAGTTATCCAT